TGCAGCATTTTTGCCCAGCACAGACTCCAGGAACCAAGAGGAGGCAAAACCAAGGGCTGGGTCTGCAATCACCAGGACTGGGACACCTTTCCAGCTCGAGGAGTGGGTCCATTGGGACCTCATGAGGTTCAACAAAGCCAAGCACAAGGTCCTGCATCTGAGTGAGGGCAACTCCTGGTATCAGTCCAGGCTGGGGGATGAAGGGATTGAGAGCAGCCCTGCTAAGGAGGACTTTGAGTCCCTTCCAGTGTCTAAAGGGGCCCACAGGAAAGATGGGGAGGGACTCTTTATCAGGAATTGTAGTGATAGGACGAGGGATAATGGTTTTAAACCCAAAAAGGTTAGATTCAACCAGTTATAAGGAAGAAAGCTTTTACAGTGAGTGTGGTAAAACACTGGCACAGGTTGCTCAAAGACATGATGGATGTCCCATCCATGGAAACATTCAAGGTCAGCTTGGATGGGGCTTTGAGCAACCTGATCTAGTTGAAGATGTCTTTGCCTATTTGGAATAAATTACCTTTAAAAGTCCCCTCCAACCCAAACCACTCTGTGATTTCCTCGTGGAGGCACAATCTTGTTATGATGCCATTTATTTAGGACAACGTGTCCTCAACAAGGCTCTTGCAGTTTGTCCCCTAGAGATTTGTCCCTTTGGGCTGAGCTGGGGCTAAGCAAGGCTGCAACACTCTTTGTTGCACCCTGAAGAAATGCACAACCAGAAGAGCTGGAGAGCCTGAAACCTCCAATGTCTAGTTGTCGTGAGGACGCTCACGACTGATTTAATAGCGTGAGACTCAAAGTGAACTGATTTATTTTAAGCTCACTGAGACCAAGTTTGCCTGGCTAATGCATCCTGACTTTTAGATTGAAGACTTAAATATCATGAGACTTTGGACAGATTCTTTGGAGGACACACGGCTTGGGGGAGGAAACCAGATTCAAAAATAATACCTGGAATTGTTTCAATAGTGCTATATCTGATCTTACCAGGACCAAGGGAGCAGCCAAAGTATGGCCATCTGTTTCCGCTCCCCCCTGCCCTCCTGGCTCACTTCAAACCACCCCCCCCGGCAGAAAAGGCATTGAGCATCCCGCAGAGGAAGGACAATTCAATAAACCTAAACCCAAAAAGGAACACTTCATTTTAGCAGAGGAAGCTGTAGTGATGTGACTCACTCGGTGGCTTTTGAGGCTCTCCCCCACCTTCCAGCACTGTCACTTAGAGGTTATTTTTGCGTTTGCCCTCTGACAACCATGCAGCCCTCGAGCCATGTGGCTCTGCAAAACGTGAGGGTGGTTAAAGGCATCTTTGGGGTTGCTGCCTGCTGGGCTGAGCACACTCACAGGTTGGGATGTACAGGAGCCATCAGGGATTGTGCACCCCCAGTCCCTCATCTCTGGGACAAAGCATATGGCAGACAGGCAGAGTTTTGGCTTCGCTTCTCCCTGCTCCTGACCCGCCAGATCCCCTGCCAGGGACATGCCTGGCCAGCCCTGTCCCTCCAGACGGGACACTGGGAGAGGGATCACGCTTGTCAGACTCGGTTGCTTCCCCCACTGCTCGTGGGAAACCTGTCCCACCTCCCATCCTGGCCACCCTTTGCTGGTCTGGGTAATGTTTTCTTATTGTGGTTTGGTCACAGAGTCCTTCCTTTGTTCAATTTGGCCACTGCTTAAGGAAGCCTCCAGAGAAAGCCTTGATAGGAGCATTATAGCCCTGGAGGTGAAGGTGGCCACTGTGGCCATGCTGGAGGCAGCTCATGTGGCAAATATTCAGTGGAGATTGATCTTACAGCAGCTCAAGGGCTTTGGCAGCCCCAGTGGCTGCTGCACACAGAGAAAGGAAGGTGCACAGCAAGAGCCAGGGCAGCTCTGTGACACAGACTCCTCTCAGACAGAGCCACTCTGAGCAGCAAGGCGGGTTTATCAGGGAATTTTCTGCTGCCATCCCAAGCCAATTCTCCACCTGAGCCCACTAAGACATTGCACTGCTGCACCCTCCTTCAGACCAAGTGCTGAAATAGGACCTCAGGGATGGTCTTTTCAGGACTGCCCTATTAAGCCATCTGTATGGCCACATTGGCAGTAGGACCATACTGCAACACAATATGTTGCCTCAGCGCAGGAAACACACTCACAGAGCCCCCAGCACTTCAGCTGAGGGGGATTTTTCTGCCTTTTCCATCAGCCACTGCTGTAAAGCTGCGCTGAGAGGCAGCTCCATCCCCCAGCAGGAAGCTGTGTCTCATTAGCAGAGGTAAACAATTCCTCTGAACGTGACGAGTCAGGAGAGCATATTAAATATGTCACTATCTCAGGGTTTCTTAATCCCTACTCCAGAACAGCGTGTTGAGGCAGGAGAGGACCCCCCAGCGTGGCTCAGAGTTCCACCACACCCCAGCTGGCATCCCCCCCTCTTTGGGGGGATAGTGGGGAGCACCTGGGCAGGTGCCCTCACCCTTCAGCCTCCCCCACCCAAGCAAGCCTGAGCACTCCATTGATTTCCCTTGCTCAGTTGTCACAGCTGCGAATAAAACAATGATAAAACCTATCCAGCCACTTGCCTTTAAAACATCAGCCAACACATCTATTCAGTAGCAGAATCACAGAATCAACTTTCATGCTCCGGGGTGGGCACCACACTGGAGCTCAGCAGCCCTGGTTCCAGCCCTTCCTCCTGGCACACACAGAGGAGGCAAAAGCCACACACTGCTCAAGTTCAGGCTGTAACAGGAGGAACAAACCCCAGCACAGCACTCGCAGCTTTTCCGTCAGGCAGGTGCGTGTCAGAGCAAGACAGTGCTGAAAACAGTTTGAGTGTTGACCTGTTTTCTGATCTGCTTTCCCTGGCAGCCTCGTGCACACACACACACAACGTGTGCTGTGTTTACAGGAGTCCCCTTGTCTCCCCAAGGCTGTCGCTGTCTCCCCTGCAGACGATCCTGGTGCTCACGTGCAGATCAGTTCCTCGCTGTTTTGTTTTATCCCCCGTGCCGACGGAGCAGCCTCCTGCCTTATTTACAGTGCATTACTCACACGCTGCTCTGAACACGGAATTATTTATGCCCTCCTGAGCTTTTCAGGGCTCCTGGGTGCCGTGGCCTCCGCTCTCTTTGCAAAGCTCAGCGCGTGGCTCCGAGCTGTGGGGAGGCACCCAAGGCCCATTTTACAGACACAGAATGGAGAAGCTCTGAGTAGTTCCCTAGACCTTTGGTTGCCCAGCTGGCAGTGGCAAAACACAGATTTTCCAAAGCACCTTGTGTTACACAGAGGTTTCCACATTCAAAGCACAGCCCCAAAGCTCCCCTTTGCACCCCATTTGTACAAGCCAGCTCCTCTCCTCTGCTTTGCCTGGGGTATACACAGGGCACCCTAAAAGCAGGTCACAAGCATTCAGACTCCAGCAGTTTCCCAGATCAAAGCAAGCCACGGTGCAGGGTCAGTCCCCAGTGCCACGGACACAGGAGCAGCCTCTTCCCACGCCTGCAGCAGGGCTCTCCCAGTCCAGGGACACAACCAGCCTGCAGAGATCCCAGCCCTGCATCTCATTTTTCAGAGACCCCAGCTACCAACACGAGCTCCCTGCACCCCAGCACAGCCCTAGCACTGCAGGAGGTCTCCAGAGATGGGTGGGAACACACTGATCCCCCCAAACAGCACCTTCCCATGGCCCAGCCACACACAAGGCACCCACAAACCAAACCACAGCACCCGGCTCGGTCTTACCTTGTAAATCCACTGTGCTTGGGAGGGACAGACCTCACACCCCAGCAGGCTCCTCACCTCTAGCCAGAAGCTCTGACCAGCTCCAGCTGCTTTATCACCTCCTCCTCCTCTGCCAGGTGCCTCTGCCTCCCTGACAAGGGTCCCACTGCAGCAGAGCCTGCTGTTGTACCAATGCCTCTCCCTCTCCAACCCTTTGGATTTTGAGTCTGAGAGGGAGGTAAAGTGACAGCAAAGAGATGCTTCATATGCAAAAAAGATTTGCATTGTGTTGCAGAGTTGATTTGTGGTTTGTACCCACTATAACACAGACCTGCATTATCCCCAAGGAAGGTCTGACCCACCTGCTCACTCCTGGAGGCAGAAGCTGCAGGGCAAGTAATGTTGGGCTTTAACACACATATGGATGAGGAATAAACCCATTGGCACAGCTAATAACCCTGATGCCCAAGTCCAAAGCTTCAACCTTCACACTATGTCCTGGTGCAGCTCAGCACATGGATGTGTACCTGTGTCCCTGCAAAACACTCCAGCTTGGCCGTGCACTGTCATTTGTGGGCAAAATGGGGTGACTGTTCCTTTTCTCCCATTGCCAGGCCTGCAGGTGATGGACATTTTCACCTGGATGGGATGAGCCATCTTTTCCTCCATGGTCCCTGCAGGCAGGAGAGGACCGTGGCACTGGGAGCACAAATCCCTGCTCTCCCTGCTACTCCTCAGTCCTATCCCATCTTGGAGATGGAGAAATTTATTTTCCCTCCTCTAGCCATGCTCAGTGGTACAGGGGGGATGGTGTGTCCCCAGGATTTTTGGCATCAGGAGCCATGAGAGGCAGGGATGTGTTTGGGGGATTTCAGCCGTGCAGTTCTTCCAAGGCAGAGCAAAGCTTTTTGTAGGCTTGTAAATTGGCCAAGCTTAACCGAAGTTTCCCAGAGACCATCTCAGGGAAGGCACTTTCTATGAAAATTGCCCCTGTGCCAACTTGAAAAGCCCTTTCCCAGAGGGCCTTTCAAAGGAAACAGCTCAGCCGTTCTTACAGTGGAGGCAAAGCCGCATCTTTCTGCCTTAAATTCATTCTCAGAAACAGCTTCCTCCAGAGCCAGGCCCGTGGCACACTCCAGTTCAGCCCAGCAGTTAATGTTTGACACAAGCAGCCAGATCCAGGGCCTGGTAACAGTGTGAGCTTGGCTGTGATGCCCACACAATGCCCACACGGTGCCCACACGATGCCCAGGCTTTGCCTTCTTCCCCGGTGACCGTTGTTGTTGTTCCAGGAGAACCCGTACCTGTGCAGCGACGAGTGCGACGCCTCCAACCCGGACCTGGCCCACCCGCCCAAACTCATGTTCGACAGCGAGGACGAGGGGCTGGCCACGTACTGGCAGAGCGTGACGTGGCGCCGGTACCCGGAGCCGCTGCTGGCCAACATCACCCTGTCCTGGAACAAGAGCATCGAGCTGACGGACGACATCGTGATCACCTTCGAGTACGGGCGCCCCACCATCATGATGCTGGAGAAGTCGCTGGACAACGGGAGGACTTGGCACCCGTACCAGTATTACGCAGATGACTGCATGGAGGCCTTCAGCATGCCAGCACGGAGGGTCCGAGACCTCTCCACCACCAGTGCCAACAGGGTCCTCTGCACGGAGGAGTATTCCCGCTGGGCGGGCTCCAAGAAAGAGAAGACCGTCCGGTTCGAGGTCAGGGACCGCTTTGCCATCTTTGCTGGCCCCGACCTCAAGAACATGGACAACTTGTACACCCGGCTGGAGAGCGCCAAAGGGCTCAAGGACTTCTTTACCGTGACTGACCTGCGGATGAGGCTGCTGAGACCCGCCCTGGGGGGCACCTACGTGCAGAGGGAGAACTTGTACAAGTACTTCTATGCCGTCTCCAACATTGAAGTCACCGGCAGGTAACGGCTGCTGTATTTCTTTGGGCATCTCTTCTCTGAGGGATGAGAAGTTACTGCTGGTAAACTAAGCCATCAGCATTTCTGCAAACAGTGTTTCTCCCTCTGACACCCCTTCTCCCCAGGCAGGGCAGCACTGGAAATAAAACAGATGTGTCCTTGCAGGGAACGGCTGGGGCACCTCCCAGGCTGTGTCTGAGAGAGGGGCTGTGTCCTCCTGCAGCCGGTGCTGGGGGAAGTGGGACATGGCTTAGGTGGACAGTCGGGGTCTGAATTCCCTCCCAATACCCTGTCCCCAGCTGTGCAAACACAGCCAGAAGTCCCAGGGGTGATGCTGATGCATCTGGGGGATGAGGAATGATGCTCATCCCACTAAACTCCAGCTCACTGCCAGTACAAGGAGGATGGGTCATCCCAAGTCAGCCCAGCACCCCCTGAGCAGCCTCGACTCCAGCAGAGGAAGTTTGGGGTGAGGGTAAACCCCCCAGACAGATCTGGGGCAGGGGAGGTGGGTGGGGGGTGTTTCTCCTGGGTTTTGTTTTTAATTTCTCTGTATAGTGCCATATGTTACGTTATGACATCAACTGAAAAAGCAAAGTAAGGTGGAAAAGTGCCGAGATGGCTGATTTCCCATCCAGCTTGTGCGAGACTTACAGGCGAGAGGGGAGAAATCTCCCCATCACCCACCCCGTGCTAACAAGCATCACCACAGCGACAGAGGAGCCGTTTGTATCGGTTCCAAACTGTTTGCTACTGAGACTTGCAAGTAGAAATGTTTTGCAGGTGCCACTGAGGCTGGCTTTGAACAGGCTCCAAGGGGAAGGAAGCTGCAGTGAGGGATGGGCGAGCCCCTTCCACCCGCCAGGGCAGGCAGGAGGCAGCGGTGAGGGTCTTTCTCACAGTGTGGTTGCCTGTCTGGGACGAGCAGCTGTGGCTCTCAGCTGGACTGGTGGCATGTTGGGGTGCCCACTGTTGGGATTGCTCAGGGAGAAGCCCTGAGGGGCTCAGGCACACGGGCAGAGGAGTGGCAGAGCCCAGGTTTCAGTGCAAGGTGCTTCTGTGTAGATATGTGCTGCCCATAAGAAGCATTGCCAGGTGTACTAAATATCCACAGTCCAAAACCAGCTCAGGATGCAGCAAAATAGCAAAGTAAGGAGGGTGGAAGGGAAGAAAAGCAGGCAAAGGCAAGGAAAAGGGCAAGTGCCTTGCCATCACCTCCACCCCAGTGACAGCCAGTCCTGTCCCCTGCTCCTTCTTTTGTGGCCCTACTCCTCCCCGGGTGGCCCAGTTGCCCACAGGGACACTTGGTGTTACTGACAGCAGTGGCAAAACCACAGGGATCAAACCCCAGCCAAAGCCCACACTGACCAGAACATCTGGCAGGAAGGGTTGGAGCTGGTGTATCAACTTGTCCGGGCTGGTTAGACTCTGTAACAGGGACACAGAGTTTTCAGCCTAGAAGGTGGTGAATTAGGACTAAAGGTTTGATGTCAGTGCTTGTGCAATGACCTTTGGCTTCCAAGCACTGACATAACTGCAGATAACCAAGGACTTGTTGCTGCAGGATACTTCATGCTTCAAAGAGGTAAAGTACTCTTGGTGTCCCGTGAATGTGATCCTCCTCCTCCTCCCTCTACCTTCCCTGCCTGGCTTGGGCAGCACTTGTTGCTCCAGTACTTTGGAGTTCAGGCCATGCTGACAGGATTCTCCCCAAACCAGCACCTTGCTGTTGGCTGCCCTCCTTCACCCCCACCCAATCCCTCACCAGCTTTTGAGCTCACCGACCAAGTTTAACACCATTTAATAGTAGCAGCCATCAGTTCAAGAGGTTAAAATCAAAAAAAATTCTGCGAAAAGAACTAGGGCGGGGGGAGGGAAACCCTTTCAAACACCATGGCTGGGGTGGGGAGGGAGGGGGGGGCATGTCACAACCTCTCTGAGACATCCAAGATTCCACAGCCACCTGCACCCCAAGGACAGGGCTGGCAAGGGAGGGCCGGGCTGTGAACGCCCAGTGGAAGCTGCAATGCTGCTTTTTAGCTGGGGCCAGGATGAGACAGGTTGGGGTTTGTTGGCTGGTTCCTGGCAGCCTCCCCCCGGCGCTGGCTCTGTGCCGGCGTGGCCGGCTGCCCACGGCTGCTGCAGAGCAGCGGCTCCCGCTCGCCTCCACTTCCCTCTTGGCTCCACTCACCACGAGCTGCCTGACCCACTCCTCTCATGCAGCAGGGCCTCTGGGAGGACAGGGCTTTTCCTTGGCTGGGAACACAGAAAACTATGAAATCTGGTTTTTTTCAGCCCAAACTCCCAAGTCTTGAGCTGCAGCAAGACCCAGCTTTGCACTGCTCCGGCTCTCCCAGCTTGCTGGGATGGTTCCCGGGAGAGGGGGACACAGCTTGGACAGGGAAAAGGTCGATGCCTGTCCTGTGCTGACTCTTCCAGCCCCGGTGGGCACAGGACAGGAAAAGGTGACCAGCTGAGGAACTGTGGATAAGTGGTGTATAAGATGGAGAAGCCTCATGTGAATTAACTCTGCTCCTGTGATTATTCCAGTCCCAGCAAGCAGGTTTCTCACTGAAAAGCAATCTAATTCCAGCTGTAAGCAAAGCCAGTTACAGTGCAGGGACTAAAACCAAATTAAATCTTGTGTATGGCTCAACAAGGGATGGGTTATTGAGAGGAAGAGAGGAGAAATCAATGTGAGCCTGACAGGAGCCCTGTGCAGGGAAGGGGGGAGGAAGGGTAGGCAGGGATGGGGATGGACACACACTGCCACTTCCAGCATGTGGGAACAACTGTGTTTGAGGAACAGAAGGAAAGTTCGTAGATAAAATTGGAGTGGTGTTAGGGATCCACTGCAGGGGGCATGGAAACAAGAGGGAAGATGATTATGAAAAAATGAGGGCTCAGAGGTAAAAAGCAGCCAGAAAATTCCACCTGGAGAGCAGAGGTGTGAGCAGCCCTGGGAGGCTGGAGGAGCCGTGCCCAGACATGGTGTGTGGCATTGGAGGAGCAGTGTGTGCTGTCAGAGCATGGCATTGCCTCTGTCCCTGCACAGCACCGGGATTTTGGCAGCAGCTGGCAGTGCCCACGGGGTGATGAGACACTTGGCAGCTCGTTTCTAGTTGATGTTCACAGTCAAGGGAAGAGTAAAACACTTTGCCCTCAGAGCAGACCATGAGCCGGGGCAGTTTCTCCTGCTGCAGCCTTGGCAGGTGGGTTCAGAGAGGTTTCTGTGATCCCCTCACTCCATGTGCTCCTGGGCCCCCATCCAAGCCCACCCCTTCCTTCACACCTCAGCCTCCCACCACAAAAGACCCCTCACCACAGTCTCCCAGAACTTTGGGAAAAGCAGAAAGAGATGGAGCAAAGGACACGGTGACAAGGGGAAGGAATTCTGTGCCTTCTCCCAAAAACCAGATGGACTGGGGTGGTCAAGAGTTTGACAGAGGATCTGGTCACTCCAGGGGGTCACTGCTTCTTCCCTGGGAGCTGGTGCAATGGGCTGGTGCTTCAGGGTCTCCTCTGCATCTCCTCCTCCCACAGCCTCAGCCGGGTCCATTTCTCCATTCATGGCTGACAGTTTATTTTTACTCTCTTTCTTCCTGGTATCTTTTTCTTTTCTTTTCTTTTCTTTTTTCCTTTCTTCTACCATCCTGTCCCTATTGATCTGTGGAGTAACTGGAGACGCAGAAGAGTCAGGACAGGAATAGACGCGAGCGAGCCCTTGGCCTGTGTGCTGTGTGTGTGTGTGTGCCAGGCAGGGTGGGGAAGGGAAGCGGGAAGACTTTCCCCCACAGATCTCTGTCCATTGCTTGATTTTCTCCTCGGTGCAGCAACAAGCTCAGTCATCTCCTCGGGAACGGGTGAACGAGCTTTCCCCGGCTGCCGGGGCTGGCGCGATGAAAGCCGCTGCTTCTCTTTCCATTACACGCTGAGTCTCTTTGGAGTAATTTTTTCCCCTCCATAACGTCAGTCACCGCCATGCTCAGCAGGCCAAGCTCCATCACGGAGACATTAATAAGCTGTAATTGAAGTTAATGTGCCATGGCCGGGACATGTGGATCCAGTTAGGAGAAATCACATTGAGCAGAAGCGAATCAATTTTAGGCTGATTTATATTAGGATTTCTCTCCTTTATCCTCCCCTGCCCCAATGCATGCACTGTCTGTCTGTCTGTCCATCCTGCTGGTGATGAGCAGTCCCTGGAGGAAGGCAGGAGGAGGGAGTGTTCCTCATCCCTGAGCAGCTCCGTGGAACAGTGCCTCCTCTCAGGCTGCACTCAGGCCCAAGAGGGACCAACAAGATGAGGTTTCCAGTTTTGTAACAGCATTTCCTTTCCTCTTTTCTTGCTTTTCTGATGGTTTCCTTGGCTGCTGCTTTGGTTACACAAAAGAATTGAAGGGAAAGGCCCTTTGTGCTCCCCTCCTTCTTTCCCTGCTTTCCTCTTGTGTGCTCTTGGTGCCTTGCTCGGATACTCTTCGGGAGTGTGACTTGGAGAGTTTGTGCTAGTGGAGCAGATCAACTTTGCACAGTCTCCCAACAGCCAGGATCAGGGAGACCAGACCTGGAGGATCAAGGCCATCTCCAAAAGCACCTCCTGCAATAAATGGAGCTGGTTGATTGTCAGTGGTACCCACATGCAACGGATGTATTTTTCTGCATTCATGGTCAGTTTTGAGATGTGGGGATGCTCGATGCTGCATTGCTGTTAAAGGTGAAGCAGTTTCTGCTTGGCCTGGTCACTGTCTCCTACTCTGCCCTCCTGGCCAGCACATTGAAGCAGCTCAATGCACTTCCCCTGCAGTTGTACCTCAGTTCAATCCAGGGTGCCAGAGCAAAGTGCATCCTGGCAGCACGTGGGCTGCTTTGCCCTGCTTGGACATTCCTCCTTCTGGCTCTATTGAAGTTGTTGGAGACCCTCCAGCTGATCTTGGCTTCTCCAGCAAAGCTGTCTCTAGAAAGGAGAAAAGAAGCAGGTTTGGTCCATGGAACAGTCTCTTGTT